GTTCATCCCAAAGATCCAGTCCCCCGGCACAAACAGAGTAATGTTGTGTATGCTGTTCAGTGTCAGGAGGGCTGTGATCAGTCGTACATCGGGGAAACTAAACAGCCACTGGCCAAAAGGATGGCCCAGCACAGAAGATCAACATCATCAGGCCAGGATTCTGCGGTCTACACTCATCTCCAGGCCAGTGGTCACTCTTTCAAGGATGAAGATGTTCACATCCTGCACAGAGAGGAACGATGGTTTGAGAGAGGAGTAAAGGAGGCCATCTTTGTGAAAAGAAATCGTCCATCATTAAACAGGGGTGGAGGCCTCCGGGTTCAACTGTCCCCCTCTTACAATGCTGTGATTGCTAGTATCACTCAGGCCTCTGTGAGTAGTAAACAGCCATCAGTGTGCTAATGACCCATTGTTAGGCTGATGGTCCTTCTTGAGCATGTGATCAGCTGGTTTTGGTTGTCAGCAGCAAACTGGTTGATCCACTCTAAGAAGGTGCTATTTAAGAGACTGAGCTGAAAACAGCACCTCAGACTGAGGAAGTCTCTTGGATGAGAGACGAAACGTTTCTAGAATTTTTTTTGCTTTGTTTTGCTTTTGTTTTTTTTTTTGAATGTCCAGAGGACCAGATTGAACTTTTTTGGATTTTTCTACCTGGATTATTGAGCATGCATCAAGATATTTTGAATCACTTTGGCCAGGATTGCCTCAAACTAGTAAGAGAGTTTGAGAAAACAGCAAGGAAGAGGGCAGACTACAGGAACCACTTGCGATTCAACCTCAGATGTCGACAAAGTGGCATCATTCCCAAGAGCCTGGAACTAAAATCATCGGTCAGCGGGCACCGGGCAAGCAAGATCCTTCAGAAGGCACAAACCCAGCTGCTGAATGAACGGTTGAGACAGACCAATTTTACTATTGAGGCCTTGAAGGCCAAAGAAGAGCACATTAAACAGAAACTAACTATGTGTCTAGATCAGACCACACTTCAGCAAGTGTTGGACTGTACAGATCAGGCACGCTTAGCACAGCATGTCAAATCCAAGACTCGACAACAAAATAAGTTCAACTTACTAGTAACTCATCAACACCGTCACTATTCCAATAACAACACATTCAGTGTAGGACAACACTCCAGTAGTCAATTACATGCCAGGGAGACAGAAAAGTGGGTGAAGAATTTATCTGACAGACAGCTCACCCAGCCGGAGACAGAGATTCTTGCCAGGGGACTGAACTTTGCGGTTGCACCAAGTACAATTCCTCTGGTGGAGATGATAACAGCCACAGAATCAGCCATCCGCAACAACAAAATGAAAGAGGGTGAAGCAGAACAGCTCAGAATCAAAGTTTCATCCTGCCTCAGCAATGCCAAACCACCACCTTCCAACATCAGTAGAGAGGAGAGGGATGCACTCACCACTCTTAGCAAGGAAAAAAACATCATCATTCTCCCAGCAGACAAAGGAAGGTGCACAGTGATTTTGAACCAGAAAGACTATCATGAGAAAGTTATGACACTCCTTAGTGACTTAACCACTTATGAACCTCTGAAAAGAGATCCAGGAAGTGGTTACAAGAAGAAGTTAATAGATTGCCTGAAAAATTTGGAGCAGGACAAGGCTATTGACCGTATTCTGTACCACAGACTGTACCCAGGGGAGGCCACACCTAGTCTGTATGGTTTACCTAAAATCCACAAACAAGGTGTACCTTTAAGACCTATTGTTAGCATGATTAACTCTGTCACTTACAATGTTTCCAAATATCTGGCGTCTGTACTCATCCCTTTAGTTGGCAGCTCAGAACACCACATACATAACACCATGGACTTTGTGGATAAGGTGAGGGATGTCATCATGG